AATGTAAGATGTGCTGGGATTAGTGATGTTTCTTATATCAAAATGAAAGGTGGACACCAGCCCTCACTGAGGAACAGAACAAAAACATGTAGATTTACTCCTTGAAGAAAAAAACTGAGTTGACAACCACAACATAACATTTCAAGAGACATAAAACAATGGTACACATGACCAAGCCGTATCTAGGCCATGGCGAATCATATCTACAGTGTCCTGAGCAGAACCTTCAATTAATTCTGAAGTACTTTCTTCTGCAATCTAGCATTAATTGATTCCAAACCCCTTCTCAAGACTTGTACAATGTAAGAAACTTGGGTTCCATCATCTTCGTCTTCTTGTTCACCTTCACGTGGTGTTTTATTTCCTCTACTAAACTGACAACAAATGACTGCACTGCTCTCCTCTCCAACACCAACACAAATGTAAGTTAATGCATCAAAGCCTGATATTCCCCAAATACCCTTTGCTCCAGTTCGGGACTGAGAGCTTATCCTATAAAGTGATTTAGTCACCTAAGCTTTGAACTGCCAGAGACAACTCACAAATTCAAAAGAAGGACTTGGATTTGGACAAGTAAATAATGGAAAACAGCAGTGACAACGATGACAATAATGTATTCAACTGGTACCGACAGATTTTTTCTCATTGTGCCAAAAATGAAACACCTATTCATTCACCTACCTCCGGTTTTTGGAGGAACACGTAGAGTACTGCTGTGTGGTATTGATTACAAGTAGAAGTGACACAGGTTGGGTTTGTCAATACTTTTATAAAAACTCTTTGATCCTTGTTCAGCCACGATGACGGTAATGAATTACGATGTGCCTTTGATACTTTCTGCTCTTACTACATAATTAAAGCGTAATCCCTTTGTATCGTTCAGCAGAGTCGTTTATTCTTGGCTCCTTAAAAGATGTTCTCAAGGTGTCACATTGAAGGATAAATGTGATTATGTTCAGTTCAGTCTGGATTTTTATTCGGGATTCTTAAGTGTGATGAGAATACGAGTTTAATTCAGCACCCAGGCTGAACTGTTGCTGACGTTCGCCACCGTGATGGAAGCAGCGTTTTGGAAATCGTTCGAATTACGCATTTGGTGTGAAGGCCGCAAAACGAACTGGGCTGAAGGACAATACTTTTGAACATAGTTATGTAACTAATCACCTTCTTCTGTGTGCAGTCTATAGACTGACGTTTATTGAAGGCCTTTCGACCTTGTTGGCGAATGCTTGCTGCTAAGCAGGCAAGGTCATATAGCGCAAGAGATAAATAACTTAAGGAGAATCCAACTGCTGCCGAAAATGGTATCAAATTTCCACCAGTGTTTTTGTTGTAGTAATTTGCTCACTGTTCTCACATTATAATTAAAAAATAATAAAATGGTGCAAGCAGCATATACAGTGAAATTCAGTGTATGTCCTGAGACTTGCATTTCATCTCATTTGCGCCCCTGCCTTGTACCCTAACTTACTGGGATAGGCTCAAGGTCCCCAGTCGACGTCAATCAGGGGTACATTTCCCAAAAATCTCCCATTAGCCAAATTACATAGTTGGACCCATTTAGCTGCACGGTTCTAACTATGCAAGCTGCTAACATAGCAGCAAACGCACCCCAGGATGCGTAATTGGACGCTGGATTATGTGCAGTAATATACACAAGAAACACACTAACTGAATGTAATTAAGCATGATTTTCTGTTAGTTACATTGCTTAATGTCGCTCCAATAAAAAAAAAAAACAATTTGTGAAGAAACAGTTAATTTAAGGTCGGATCTGATATCTAGCTATTGTGTATCCTTTTCTCTTTGAAATGGCACAAAAGGTAACTGAATCTTCTGCTTGGGTGGGTATCTGAGCAGAAGTAACAGCAGGAAACAAACTGTGTCTCTCTGTGGGACTGTTAATGTCTGCAGAACACATATTCAATTTTCCCTTTAATTGTATTCATTTGGGGGGCGGGGGGTTAGTGGCTTAGAAGGAAATGTGTGTCAACATCTGTCCTGTTCATTCTCAGGATCACAGAATCAAATAAACTGAAGAAATTCACTGGAGTCACTTAACTGCATAGCCAACTGATCCAAAAAGACAGATAAAGAGTCATTTTTGAGACTTGAAACTATCATATTGGGTGTAAAAGAACGATTTACAGCTGAACTGTCCAAAGTAAATCAAAGCAATACAGTACAATACAGTTCATATCCTGACCATGATGATGTCATATGTCACATAGTAGATTAGTGCTGAAAGGCTTAGATTTAAACCAAAGAAACGTAAAGCCTGACCATAACTAAATGGCCTGGAAACAGACACACTGAGTATTAAGTGACTGCAGCACAGCTCACGGCGTCGGTGCATCGCAGACACTGCAACACAGCAAAGCACAGATGGGATATAAGAGCAGGATGCTCGTCTCCATGGGAGCAACCCAATAAATTAGGCATGGTCTGCCTCTCCCCGACACCATGTCCCTAATGCTGCATGTGCCGCATGGGAAAGCCGACCAATGAGATGGCAGACCGTACCATTAATGCGAGATGTAGGGGTGGAAAGAGTGTCCCATCTCCTGTATACCCCTCCACTACTGATTTCTCAACTTGCACTTTAATTACCATAAATTGATTCGGTGGGTGAGAGTAACATTATAAATGTCTCAGTTTCTTTAGTATGGATTACTTCTCTCTCAAGGGGAAATTGTTCTTCACAATATATTTATCAGTCATATGGTTACAATGTGGCTAAATTTTAATGGTTTGCTAATGAAGTCGTGGTAAAACCTTACTAGTTATAGCAAATTATTTAAAAGAAACAGCATTACAGCTTTGTTTTCTTTTACTGTTTATGCACAATCCCTGTTGGAAAATTTCGAAAGGCTTTGAAGTCTTGCAGCAATTTAGAAGGCAAGCACAACTTTTATAAAATTCTCCTTTGATTGCATAAGACAAGGATCTGAGGATAACCCTATTATTGTGATTCTAAGAAGTCGGAACGCTCATTACCCATTTCAGGGGCCTGGGTGTATTTGCCTGTGTTGTTTCAGTTTCAGTTCGATTCAGTATTCTTTGGGTATGGCCTTACAGGATTCCCCCCCGTTTCTTTTTTTTTTTTTTTTTTTTTTTTTTTTTAACGGCCACATAACAGCAGAGACATGAAAAGGAGCTCTGCCGAGTGAGAGGCTGCCCCCCCGTCACGACACTACGTCTCCAAGGGATGCTGGCATAAGCCATAACATTAGTGCACCGTGACACAATATAAATGACCCTCATAGAGGCTTAATGCATTATTAGGAAACAAGTGAAACTAAGTAACTATTTGCATCATAATATATTCATGTAGACCAGGGGCCACCAACCTTTTTGAAACTGAGCTACTTCACAGGTATTGAGCCATGCGAAGGGCTACCAGTTTGAAACTGACCGTGTTGGTGACCCCTGGTGTAGAACTTCTTGGGTTGTTTTACCTGACAGTAATATACACCATATATGAGTAAAACTATTTATCTTATAACAACATAAACCATTTAATCATACAACTAAGGTACACATGATCATTGTACACATTAATTTGTTCTTGCTACACAATTTCTTCTTCTGCATCTCCAATGGTTTTTCAGTCACAGCCCTGCATCGGTGAAGGCTCTCAGGGCCGGAGCAGATTGTGTTTGGCACCTTTGAGGTCTTAGAAAGTACCTGCTAACATCCCAGCCTATTTAGGGGTATTAAAAGTAAAAATACTCCATGCATGATCATCTTCTAATCCGTGCATGGATACTACCAGCTAAGCGGAACTACTCCACAGTTAGCACGTGCAAGCGGAGCCAATCCCGGAAGCAACGTACGGGCACAGAGCAGGGAATAATCTAACGATAGGTGTCAACCCACCACAGCCATGATTAAATTTTATAGCGAGTCACCAAAAAGAAATGGAAATATCAAACAGATGGAGCCGTGATAACGTGCATAAGGTTTGCTGCAGCGTGAAAAATCGATTTACTTGATTTAGTGTCTTTGAGTACAGTTATAATTTGACTAGAGCATAGATTTGTTTCTGACATTTAAAGGAAGTCTTATCAAAACTTATATTGACGTTGTACGGCATGGTTCGTAAAAAGCCATTGTGAAGAAAAACCCACTAGCCAGACTGCTAATTAGCAGGTCTACAGGTGCGCGTGAAAATCTTTTAGTGGATGTAAGCACTTTGAATGTTTCCACATCTCTTCACATGTTCACGGTTAATTAGTCCCTCTTGGCTTAATTTGCCACGAGTTATCAGTCTGGCTTTATTTTTTACCGCAAATAACATTATCACTGATTAGAATATGCGCCCGGTAATAATATTGTAACACCTACATAATTTGGGAATCCAGCAACAGATAGACCAATGACAAAAAAAAAAAAAATGTAATATTGTTGTCAGATTGCTTATTCATAGTTCTGTTAAATTTACGTAATCGTTCATCAATTAATATACAGTTTCCATTATAAATAATTTGGTAATAAGATCTAAGCGGTACGGAGTTTTAATTATATAGAAGACAAATCTTCACAAAAACTGAAGTCAAGAAATACTGAATTAATGCATGACGTTAACGTTCTTTTTTCTCCAACATTCTACGAGATAATGAAACTGACACTGTTACCCCCCCCCCTAAAAAATAAAATAAAAAATGCTACAAAAATCTAAAATATTTCAATTTTGTCTTGCACTGGGACATAGCAAACTATGGATCTCCATGGCGATTCTCATGCTGGACAAGTATTAATTAATTAAATAGCCGGCGTTTTTTTGCATCAACTGCAGCGCAAAAAAATGTGAAAAATACATTAAAACTTCCAATTACTATCTTTGAGTCCCAATGGATTACTACTTGATTAATGACTATTTTATGAGAATTTCATTTTACATAGCCTACATTGTACAGGGGAAATCTGATCTGTACCGCTGTACCTGTCAATCGGAAACAGATATTCCAGTTGAACATAGTTTTCATTGAGGTTCTCACCTGCAGACCGATCCTGTGCATTTTCCCGAACCTTTATATGTAGATATAGATCAAATGATTTGGCCCTCTTTTCTCTTTCGGCTGTCGCCTTGGGGTTTATTTAGACTGGGAAGATGTTTCGTCCCTTCGGCGAGATGAGGCAGATGAACCGTAGGCTATAGCACTTTTTAAAAAAAAAAAACTTTCTATCACAACGTTTCTTTAAGTACGAGGTCCGTCGTCTGTCATCGATGAGAATATCGTCCAGCTTTAAGTCATTATTGCTCAAACAGGCGTTATTTTTTCACATGATAACGTTACATGGCTTTTCTAAATTGCCAGGAGCAATGAAGTACATCCAGGCGCACATACGTGTATACGTGTAACATACCATAAGTGGTATGAATCAATGCTGCAAGGAAACGCTCCTTTCTTCTCACGTGTGCTCTTCTGCTTTGGAGCAATAAACAAAATATACATCCAAGTTGAGCAAAAACTACATCGGTCCGGTCCCAAGCCCTCCTGATAGAATGTAGAATGTTGTTCGGGGCATATGGATGTGCCAGTAGATTCTGTATGACCACCCCTCCTCCGAATAGTTAAAAAAAATTGTCAAAGGAGCGCGGAAAAAAGGAGAAGTACTTTGCCCCGCGGCTTATGTTGACCCACTTTAAAGTATTTCTTTACCGATTTCTCTCTCTGCTTGCGAAAACGACGCCTTATACATGATCCTGTCACTGTGTCGTAGGCTGGTATCAGTGAGCGCGGCGACAATGCGTAGCCACTGTGACAGTGTCCCCGTCGCGTAATGTGACAAAAGACAGGCCAATTAAATAAAATACTTCTGCACATCTATACTCCAGGACAGGCATTGACAGACCCGTGTCCTTCATGCGAGTCGCTTTAGTGCTTTAACTGAAGTCCTGCTCCTTACGCCCCGCACATTCAGCCCTGCCTGTAATCTCAGGCACTTCAACTAAGCTTTACATAGATTCGTCTCACTATAAGCGAGGAGGCAGGTTTGGCTCCCCTTTCTTGTGGTCATCGTTTCGAAAAGACACCGTCTTCTGAGGTAAATATTTTAATCAACACACCCGCGTATTTACTTAGTAAACATGACAGCCGCAGCTGATTGTCACACTTTTCGGGTAAAGTCGTTTTAAGACTTCAGATGTTACGGGCATATAAAACAAGAGCATCACTCGTTCAATCACGTAATCATCAACGCCAAACGAACTCAGTTAATGTTTCCATAATTTACTCGGAAATGAGTAAATGGGTGATTAAAGTCACGTTATGAACTTCGCACAAGGATCCTCGTCGGTGGGCGTTGAAATGCGATTACAGCATCCTGTCAGAAGTACTCAATCAAAATAATATGCATAACCATCCCCTGTGTTCGTGTTTCTGGTTGTGTAGGTGTTCCGCTATGAGTACCTTTGTAATGTCAGAGTCAGTTTCATACAGTGTCTGGCACAATGCAGGCACACATTTGCAATTTAGGCATTATACAACCAAAGCTCCAAATCTACTGATTTCCCGGCACTGCACACCGGGTAAAATCAGCTGTCAGAGGCTCGGATTCATACCCCCTCTTTCTCCTTTTCTGTACATTCACCGGACTCCTGTTTTTTATTTTCGAACAGCTTTTTCTTTGACTTCCTTTCTGCAACCAGTATTCTGCTGACACATGCATCTGTTAAACCACTATATATACACACCAACTCTCTCTTCTGACATACAGCAAAAGGTGCACTCGTTTCTATATGATCCATGCGTGAAATTTAATCCCAACATCACCGTGAGACACCCAGAGGTTTTAATGTCAGTCTGCGACAATACAATGAGCTTTTTTTTGCACATATATCAAGTAATAAATAGTTTTGAATTGGATGTATATCATGTTAATATGACAATATTGCATAGAAAAGTAAATAAACCTTCTTAAATTTTTATATTCTTAAAAAATGTATCTCACATTACCTGAAAATAACAGTGGGCCACTTCCGCTAACCAGTGTTGTAGTTCAACCAGTATTTTCATCCCATCACAAATACAGTTATATTATAGCTGTTTACATTCTTACTTTATGTTGGCTTATCAGTCTTATCAAATGCATTTAAGTAACGCATCAGCAGTCTTACCATGCATTGACTGTGACCAGGCAGTCCTACCCCTTTACATTTCTTATTGTAACAGGTATGGCATGGGGAAGGGAAGGAGTGACTATCCATATCCAACAGAAGACGTTAACAAAAAGGCATTAGAACAAAACAGATTTAAGCAGAAGGAGAAACATAGGAAAACTGCACACACTAATAGGGAATAACTATCTTGACTAGAATCTACAAACAGGAAACTACATTGGGAGACAGCGACAATGATCCAACAAAGGAGAGAACAAAAGCAGACACTTAAATACCAAATTAACAGGACATGACGCTGGACAGGTGGAACCCATAACACAATTAACCTATAACAAGGACACAGGGCAACAAGGAACAGGTGGGGTGGATTACAATTATACAGCACTAGGAACAACACTGATGACTGAATACAATAGGAAAGGCTAGGAACTAAAGAACAAGCAGCACAAAATAAAACAGGTCACAAGCAGGGTAAATAAAAACAGTAATTAAAGGTAAGGCAGGCTACAGGCCAGCTTTGAACCCCTGCCAGGAGGGATGATAACATAAGAGACAATCACTCAGCTTATTGAGCTACATAGGACTACAGGACAAAAGGAACAGGATGGTCGGTGACACATGCTGACCAAACAGGAACAAAGCACACTGAGGGAAACACACTAGGGATTAAGGGCTACAGGACAAAGGGAACAGGATGGTCGGCGACACATGCTGACCAAACAGGAACAAAGCACACTGAGGGAAACACACTAGGGATTAAGGGCTACAGGACAAAGGGAACAGGATGGTCGGCGACACATGCTGACCAAACAGGAACAAAGCACACTGAGGGAAACACACTAGGGATTAAGGGCTACAGGACAAAGGGAACAGGATGGTCGGCGACACATGCTGACCAAACAGGAACAAAGCACACTGAGGGTGCATAGATGTTCCTCTGGTCAGTTTGAAGCCAACAGTTATGAAACTGAATAGAATTTTTAGAATATAATTTTTTTTATTACTACTGGAAAGCAGGATAAATAACATGATAATTTATAGTTTTCTTGACATTTTTCCTCCTTCTCTATGTTATTGTCTCCTTTGTGTGTTGTATATGCACACATAAAAGCATACACACACACAGGTAGATGGACATTAATAAATAATAACAATAAATAATAAATGACAAGAAACGGTGACAGTTCAAGGATTTTCAACATAGCATCAAACAGTGTCCCAATATTCTCATTATGTCTCACTTATACACACAGATCAACACACACACACATTCAAATGCAGAGGATAAATGCATTTGGTTGAACCGAGATCATCCTTTTTTGTGCATGTGTAAGATTACCCCTCCCTCAGCTCTTTCTCCCTCTCTCTCTTAGGAATAGAGAAGGAGAGTCAGAGGTGGAGTTGGGGGGGGGGGGTGAGGGAAGTACTGCTGTATTCACCAAAAATATAGTGATGAGGGGGTAATAAAATTAAGATGTTAAGAGCATCAAGAATCATCATCAGATGGCATAGAATCTCCAGAGGATTATGAGGGTGAAAGGAAGACATATTCGCTCTGAAGTACTTACCATGTAACTGGTGCACACAGATTAAAATAAGAGTCCAAGGATGTGTTTACTGTTTCACAAAAAGTTAAAGTTATTGCTATGGTTCCTCCTACTAAGATGAAATGAACTCAATCAATTTTGCATCCTTTTTTTCGGCTATTTATGGAATCCATCACATCATCAAATGTATATCGTTAGAGAGCACCATTAAACATATATTATTATTATTGTTGTTGTTGTCAATTGTGTGTCTAAACTGTGAAATACTCATTTGCAAAGTTTTTTTTTTTTTTTTTTTTTTAAAAAAAAGATTTGGCAGTAAAAAATGAGATAAAGAGGATGTCTGAGGTGGGGGAAGGTAGCAAGGGCAGGTCGTTACTGACCAATCAAGGATCAAAAAGAGTTTTTGCTTTAAATTGTACAGATTGCACAGCATTGTATTCAACGCGTAAATGAGCCGGATTTCAGCCGTTTACAGAGTAACTTGGGGGACCTGTGCACTGTCACCTCGTACGTACAATATCCCGCAAATTGTTATTTTGCTTTTCTTCCTTGACAAAGGAGCAAATCATCATCATCAGTGAGTACAGTGACTTTTTTATTAAATGTGTGCTATGTGTATTATTTACAATGATAGGCTGTAGACAGTGATACAATAATTCTGATTTATAGCTTCTCTGAGCTAATCTTAAATGGGAAAGCAGGGGTACTGACCACAGCTTCATTCAGAATTGACTGTTATAGCGGTCATGCAGTCATGCATCTGCCCAGCACTTATCCAGCAGGAGGGCATGGGGGCTTTTCATTATCTCTAATTACTAAGACTGACCCCGAGGACTATAAATGTTGTCAAAGATGCCATAAAAATTGGAACCTTCCCTTCTTCTGTCTGGCCGTAGACCTCAATTTCTAAGCTTTCCATTGCGATTTTATCTTTGCATACCTGCACAGAAATGCACATGCATTTGGCAGAATTTGCCAAACAGAGCAACAGCCCATTTGCCCGTGGTCCTTGTTTTCTGTGCCACAGCTGCAGTCCAAGTACAGGATTCTGCTTTGGGTTCAGCGACTCTCCAATCAGCCCCATAATTTAGTTTAACCATCTGTCCTCAATAGAGATGGATCCTAGCTGTGTGTGTATGGGCACAAGGCAGGGAATTACTCAGGATGGGGTGCCGACCCATCACAGGGCACACTGACACCATTCATAATTTGGGGGGAAACCAGAGACCCCCCCAGAGGAAACCCAACTATGACACAGGAAGAATGTGCAAACTCCACATCCACAGGACTGGGTTGGAGACTCGAACCCTGGTCGGAGAAGGGTGACGTAACAGTGCTGACCACTGTCCCCGCTGCTGCTCCAAAGTATCTCTCTCTCTCTCTCTCTCGCTACCCCCCCCTGGATGTGCAATAACTCACTTGTGTAATAACTCCAGCCAAGTGCAATATTTGCTTTCTGTGCAATATACATTTTATGTACACATTTTTATTTACTTTTTATTCAGTAGTACTCATTAGTAGTACTTTCAATACCCTCTGTGTAAATGATTGAATGTTTGCTCCTTGTTGTATCTGAAGGGGCAGCTGCTCTGCAATTTCGATATACATGGTATAATGACTATAAAACACTTCTAATTCTAATAACTGTAAATCTAAAACCCCAAACTTATTATATGTCATTATTCAGTATCCCAGGTGTTGAAATGCCTTCAGCTGGCTTTTTGCTTTAGGTGACATGTCTGTAAGGTGGGGTCCAATCAGTGGACTAATTTGGGTTTGGTAGTCCGAAGTGAGTATAGTGGTTATCAGCTGGTTGGTTCTGCTGTCTGATTTCCACATTCCTTACCAACAGAGCTGAGTAATTCGGGTCCAGAGAGTAAAAGTCCAGTCCGGGACTTTGTTTCAGCCAACCAGTTGAGTACTCGGTGACTGTGACTCTTTATGATGGTTTATTGAAACAAAATCTTGTTCTGGATTTTTACTCTCTGGACCTGAATTACCCAACTCTGCTTGCCATGCCGTAGAGCGGGATGGACCACAGGGATGGAGATGATGAGAGCAGACTGACCAGATCCGGCACAAGGGACATCTGATTGTGTTTGCTACACCATCCATTTCCTTGGCTGCCGGCCCACCGTGTCTCGGCCCTTTTCGGAGTCTTTTGGCAGCCACTGAAGCTTCAGCTTTGCCCAGTTTGGACAGCTCCTAGTTATCCGAGGCACATTTGTAGTCCGTTGTCGCACAGACAAAGGATGAAGTTGTCCTGACAATAGAAGGGACCTTTTTCATTGTTAGCTACAGATATATTGTCACGAGACAATGAACGCCGTCCCACTGAAAATATATTTAGATTTATCTGCTGCAGAATTTCGTTTTCACCGTGACCAACAAAAACCAGACACATAACATTATTTATTAACA